GGATTGATTTCTTAGCAGATTTCTTGCTCTCAGAGAAACGTTTTGCCCAGTGAGCGGTTCAGGTTCGTTCGTTCACGTTCATTAATTAGGCAGCGCAGTATCGCGGTATCATCTCTCAGCATTACAGTAGATAAGTTATGTGTTACCTTCGTTCCTTGTATCGCGACTGTAAGTTGGATGATGCCTCTCATATGACCAGCCGATTCAGACTTTAGTACTCGCAGTCGCCAAACTCGCCTCCTTGGGAATGGAACAATCTGTAGAATGGTTGATCATTTCTATGATGGAGCCACAGATTACGCCGTGCCTGTGAGGGTATCCACGTTTTCTCGATGATAAGCCGGGCGGTCATTTCTGTGGAACAGGTGCTAGAGAAAGTTCTGATCTGTCGCATGAATGTCGAACAGGCGATGTTGAATGTCATGGTCGTCTCTTCCCTGACAAGTGATAGGGATGGAGAGGCTCTCTATGACTGTTTGTAGTCACCTTATAGCGCTTTATCGCTTCATGATCCCGCAGTTGCCACAGACGACCTCATGGTTGTTCTTGAGTATCGTACTTGGCAGGGCGTAATGGGCTTTTGCGGAACAGAAACCATCGGTGACAGCGGCAGGCGTCTCTTGGTTTGCGTTTCAAACGACCTAATCGTCAGGGAGGTTATTCCCCCTTGGCATGGGGACGTTGCTCTAGACGTGACATTCGTAAATATGCAATTAAATGAAAGGGGTTGAACTTGTTAGACTGACTTCAAGAATGAGCTATTTACTCCAGTGAGCACTTTCTCTGGATGCCGAAACATAGAAGACGCCGACCAGGAGGCTAGCGTTCAACATGGCGAAACAGAGTAGAGGCCGATCTGCTTTTGGAGAAGAATATATCCATCTGTGATGCAATAACCGGTGTCTTATGCTAAAGGTGTTAAAATGCTGCGCATGCAGCAGGCATAATTCGGTGACATCCTGCTTTTGCAAATGGTTCAAGGTGATTATCTCAATAAGTACACAAAGTTGATGGACACAAATTAAATGAAATCATTCTACTATTGTATTTTTATTCCGATTGTGTCACAGAAGGGTTAATAAAAGTGAAACATTTTTTAAGAGAGCGTTTTAGACATACGCAACCTAATTGAAAGGGCCTCTAAAAGGCAGACCACTATTAAAAATTGACGTCCTAGTTTGAGACAAAGTGGGAATAATAATGGAATCATGGACAAATTTAAGAAAGCATAAACTCTTTCTGCAGTTGTAAGGGTCAGAAACAATAAAATTTTAGTCGAATTTTGCATAAAATATGTTACCGTATTTTCCCATCAACAAGGCGCACCTTATATATACCGCGCATCTTGTACCATTTTATGCTCGTCAAAATGTATAGATAACGCGCACCTTGTGATGTTAACGCTTATGAAAATGTATAGATAGCGTATACTCTAATGCTTGTCTGAAAAGCAGATTTTGGACAAATAATAATGGAATAATATGATTGGCTGTGGCTGTACCCAAGATAAGCGAGCAGGCGAATCAACAAGAGTCGCCATATTCCTTCTGGTCTTTGAACACGTGTATTTTTCAAGTGTTGTTTAAAACCGAAAGTTGCTACTGAGAAAAATACTCATTGAGAAAAAATACTGAGCGGAGAAAATCATACACAGAGTTGTTTAAGCTGGAAGCCGTTAATTTCGCGAAAGGAAAAGGGAATCGTGAGGCAGCCAGGAAATTTAGCATTGGATATTCCAGTGTTCGTGAATGAAGGAAAGAAGAAACAGTTCTGAAATGTTTACATCAGAGGAAACGTGTATTGAGGTACAGGAAATCTTTCTGGCTAGAGCTCGAAAAAACATATCTTGAGTGGGTTCTTTTAGAGAGGTCTAAAGGACATAAGGTATCAGCCAGCAGTATTTTGTTGAAGGCAAAAGTGGTTGTGGAAGAGGAAAAAATAGAAAATTTTAGAGCTAACCCATCAGCTTTTAGATTTATGAAACGGAACAGTTTATTTATTCGTTCATCTTCGAGTGTTAGCCAAAAACTACCCAGGTAGCGAAAGTAGAAAAATTTAGACTTTACGCTAAGGAAAATTATTTGTGTGGATCCTGCACATTTTATTAACAAGGACGAAGTGCCCGTTAGTTTTGATCTCCCTGGTTCAAGAACTGTTAATTTAAAGGAATCAAAGAAGTTTCCATAACCACGACCGGACATGAGAAGTCGAATTTTACTGTTGTGTTAAGTGTGACTTACGATGGTGGGAAGCTTCCACCCTTGGTTACATTTAAGAGAAAAACAGTGCCTAAAGGAAACTTTCCAAAAGACATTTTGATTGCTGCGAATGAAAACGGATGGGCCAATCAAGACATAGTGACAGTCTGGGTTAAAAATGTTTGGAGAAAAAGAAGTCATGAAGTTAGGCCTTTTTCAGTCCAAAATCGTCATTAATAATGGACTCTTGCCATGCGCATATTACGGATAATGTGAAAGAGTTAGTAGCCAAGTATTCAAAATTGGCAATTATTCAGGGTGGATTAACAAAAACGATTCAGCCGCTTGATTTATGAGTTAATAAATTTTTTAAGTCAAAATTGCATTCCAGATGACAGAAATGGATAATGACTGGAATTAAAGACTAGAGTAAATCGAGAAAGATTAAGAGAGAGTCATATGAAGAAATGTGCAAGTGGATCATTGAAAGTTAGCTAGATGTTAAGTTGTCTTGTGTAAAAATGGCTTTTTAAAGCTTTAGGCGATGTACTGGACCATACAACGCTAGAAACAGATGACGAAGGGTTAATTTCAGAAAACGAATTGAGTGAGGATGTATCTGAAGAAATTGTAAATGTTCTTGATTCATTTTATATTGATTCTGATGAAACGTTTTACGGTTTTGAGTGAATTTATTGTAATACGTGTGCACAATAAGTGTTATTTTACATTTTATTTTTATCTTATTTTGTTACATGAACCCTTCTGTTCAATGATATTGCAATATGTAGATGGTTTCAGACTAATTTATTTTCACAATGAAAGCAGTTTGAGATTACTGCGTACATAGGCAACTTGAAAAAATTTGGAATTTTTGGTTTTTCATTGCATAACGCGCGCGTTATTGATGGAAAAATACGATACTTTGAAAATTGGAAAAATCCTTTACGGGATTCCGAATTTATAATTTGTATACAGTGTCATCCCGTAATGTATCATTCCAATTTTTAACTTTACTCTCGCTAGATGATTGAGGCGGTTTTTAAAGATTTGTTATTAGCATGTAATAAAAGAAGTTTGGTTATCGGCTGCTGTTGCTACGTAAAAGATACAAGAGGTTTGAACGTCGTTTTTTTGTGTGTTAAAAAATGAGCTGTGTTAAACTTGTTTTCCATCCTGATTTTCCACAGGTAACCTGCATCTTCTAGGCTTGCGTTACTCAGCTGGTCGGCCGACTGAACGTAGCCGACAGTGACATTAGAATTCGCGACCGGCCTTCTGGTAACGGCGATGCGTCCACAGTGAACTTGGTAACTGATTCGTACTAAAATTCAGAAGCTTAACTAGTTCGCTGGTAATAACATCTTTGATTATATGGAAAGAAATAGTTGCAAGCTCAAATCGTACAGTGTTCTATTAGTTACCAGAGCTCTCAAAATCTCTCATTTCAACGCGAATGCGCTGTAATGTTGAAAATATAGTATCTTTT